CTACCACTGCCTAGCTAATATGTGACTATTTCTTAATGGGAAGTTAAAAAAAAATGTGGCTCTCTTAGCAGCATGTATGTGTGTGTACAAATGGTGCAGGATTCCTTGGAATTCAAGCTCAAGACAGTGATTGCTGGGAATCAAACTCCAGGTCCTCTGGAAGAGCATCAAGCCTTAATGCTGAGCCATCTCTCTAGCATAACATCTTAACATCTGAGTGCTGAATGTTGAGTCCTCCAAACTGCATTACTACTTTTTAAGGGCTTTTCAAAGGACAAGTTAAGGGGTTAATTGTTAGGAATCTAAGTTTTTTTTTTTTTTTTAATTTTTATGTATTTATGAGTGCTCTCTCAGCATATAGGACTTTATACCAGAAGAGTGGACCAGATCTCATGGATGGTTGTGAGCCATCATATGGTTGCTGGGAATTGAACTCAGGACCTCTGAAGGAACAGCCAGTGTTCTCAACCTCTGAACCATCTCCCCAGCCACCGTGCCCCCCACCCCCCCCCAACCCGGAATTTCTGGTTCCAGTGATGCCTCAGGCATCCTCATTCCTGCCTTGTGAAATAGAAGTAGAAAAAAGATTTGGGGGAGTAGGTTTGGGAAAGGTAAGAGCTTGCTAGGAAGCTGGCTACTAAGAGTGACCAGTGACCATGAAGTACTGCTGATCTTACAGCAGGCTAGATCTAGGATTTAGTGTGCTTGTTTACTTAGGGAATTTGCCATTACTAGCAGAACCTAGCATTCTCTGTACTGGCCATCTCCCCTGCCCTTTCGTGGGAACTGCATCAGGTTGAAGTTATATGCTGAACGCTAAGACCTGAGATTTTGAGAAGTTAGGAACGGTGAGATTCTTTGACACAAGATTTCACTGTGGGCCTGGCATGTTTGGGGCTTGGTATGTGCTTCCCTTAAACTGTGATGCACCTGCCACTGTCTTTGAGTGCTGTGATTTAAAGTGGTGCCTTAAGGGAGGTTTTAGGACCAGTTTTTGGGTTTTTCTTTATCTGCTTCTAAGGATAGTTTTGAAGTCCCAGTTCTGCCTTGCCTGAATGCTAGATTATTATATTAATCACATCTTGCATAGTGACAGCTGATTGTTAGAGAAGATATTGAACAGATGAACACTAAAATGTTAGAGATAAATATTTTGTGGTGAGAGTTGGTACTGGCTCTAGGCTGGCTTTCATCTGTGTAGCCGATAGCCTCAACTTGTCATTCTTTTGTGACCCCTAATTGCTGGTGTTAGACTGTCCCAACACACCTAACTTTTTGTTGAAAATTTGGGCTTGCTTTATAGCTGTGGCTTGTTTGGAACTGTAGCCCAGGCTGGCCTCAAGCCTGAGGCAAGCTACCTGCTGTCTTAGCAGGCATGTAAACACATGCTTTTAATGGCAAACACATATGCCATTTTGCTTTTTAAAAATAAAAACATGTAAACATGAGCCTAAATCCAAATGATCATTCTTGTTGTGGTACTGGGGATGCTTGTTAGTCTTGCACCTTTGCCGAACAGGTGCCCTAATATAGCTTTCACAGAAGTAGAGAGAGCCATGTTCAACTGTATGCAGTAGTTCATCTTTCTTGGTTTTTTGAGACAGGGTTTCTCTGTAGCTTTGGAGCCTATCCTGGCACTCGCTCTGGAGACCAGGCTGGCCTTGAACTCATAGAGATCCACCTGCCTCTGTCTCCTGAGTGCTGGGATTAAAGGCGTGTGCCACCAATGCCCGGCTTAGTAGTTCATCTTTCTGTGTTTTTTTGGCATGTGAGTAAAATGCAAAATGTTTTAGGTATAGAGAAAATAAAGGTTTAATTTTTTTTTTTTCTGTATAACTAGGTATTTTCCCCAAGTTTTCTGAGTGCCTGATGCCACTGACAGGTTAAACTGGTGGAGTGGATATGAAGTGTAATTGTGCTGGCTTTTTAAGAATTTCTCTTCTATTTGAAACCCTTTCATTATGGTAGTGGATGGTAGTTTTGTCCTGTCTAATTGCTTTTGTGTGTTTTTGTTTTTCGAGACAAGGTTTCTCTGTAACAGCTCTGGCTGTCCTGGAACACTTTATAGACCAGGTTGGCCTGGAACTAACAGATCTGCCTGTCTCTGCCTCCCAAGTGCTGGGATTAAAGGTGTGTGCAACCACCGCCTTTATATACTTGGTTATGGGGCAAAGGAAAAAGAATTAAGATTGGAAATTTCATAAGTTAGAACTATTAGTGCTATAGTTTATTTCATTTTGAGTACTTGAAACAAGTTGGGAATGTTTAATGAACAAAGCACCAACGTTTATATTACATACTGCTGTAGAGAGAGCAGGGTGAGTGCAGGTTTGCTTCAGCCTTAAGAGTTCATAGCCACTGGAGAGTATTTTTGGTTTGATGGTCTTGGTTCATACCTTAAGATTGACTTTGTTTCTGAGCATTGAAATTATAAACATGAACCACTTTGCCTGGTTCTTATTTATTTTTTGAACAAGTAGCGAATTCCATGTTGGGATGGGTGAGGGTTCCTGGGTAGATTGCCCCTCTAGCTCAGGTTATGGCTTCATGATTTCTGCTGATAGGTTTGCTTTAAGTGCTATACAAACATTCAGGCAAGCTTGGTCTTCGGTTCTTGACTTCTCATTTTTCACATAGGCATACTAAATTGCCACCTGACCAGAATCCAGGCCATTGGGGGAAGGGCTAGGTTGTGTAGAAGGAATATTCCCATTGTGGGTGCCTTTTTCCAGAGTTTCTGGAGTAGCATCTTCAGTTGCAGCAGCCTTGTAGATGACTTTTGTTTTCTCTGTGAAGTTAAAATGGAGAAGGACTGAGTAATACTGTGGTTTGAAGGAATGGCCCCTATAGGCTGCTTTGAATGCTTTGCTTCTACTTGGAACTGTTTGGCATTGTTGGAGGTGTGTCAGTTGGGGGTGGGCTGTTGAAGTTTCAAAAGCCTACATGCTTCACCATTCCTAGTTAGCCTATCTCTGCCTGTTTGTGCTCTCAAGCAATGCCTGCTGCCATGCTCCCTGTCATGATTGTGAACTCTGAGCTCCCAATAAACCCTACTGTAAATTGCCTTGGTCTGGTGTCTCTAGTATCCCAGTGACCGAAAGAAAAGTAACTAAGACAAACACAAAACTTGTTCAAAACTCCGGAGGGTATGCACTAAGTAATAATAAGATGATTTTGCAGGCTTTTCATCATTGTAACAATTCATACAATGAAGCAGTAGAGAAAAGGAGGGTTTAGGTGATGACTTAAATTCTGAAGGAAGGGAAGGCAGGAGGATGCTTTAGGGGAATGTGATCAGGCATTTCAGACTGCCAACCCCTACCTTCCTCAACCTCATGTCTGTGTGGAGTGGTGAACTTTGGGAGTTAACATCTATCTTCCATGCTCTCCCACGTAGTAGAAGTGGGTTGAGCTGTTTACGCTTAGTTTTGGTACTGGGGTCTTGACTGAAAATCCATGGAGTTTCCCATTGAAAGTTATTACTAGTCTTCTGGGACTACAGCTTTAAGCCCGGAACCTAATTGGCTCTAGAAGTGCCATCCCTTGCATTATTGAAAGTGTTATCTACTGGGTAATAAATGAGTTGTTTAGAGATAAGACTTAGACTTAGGTTCAAAACAAACAAAAGGCTTTAGTGGTTCTATAGTGTGATAGCATTTTCCTTTCCTTTTTGGCTTCTTGAAAACCAGGATCACATCCTACTTGAAAGGGATCATTGGCATTTGCTGGTTTGGTAATGGTGAACTCTACCAGGCAAAGTTTTGAATCTGTCTTGAGGTGCAAATCACAGTTGCTCTTGAGCTTTTGTTTAAAAGGATCTGGGGGTGTAACTAGGGGAATGCTTTCCTAGCATGCCAAATTCTGGGTTTGATATCAGCTACTAAAAAGATGCCTGGACATGGTACTTGATGTAATTTGATCTCTTGGAGGCTAGAGATTAGTTTGAGGATAACCTGAACTACATACAGAAAACAAAAGGGAGCTACTCAGTTCAGTGCCCAGTGCCACAAAAAATGGTACACTGATGGCTGGTGAGGACTCGGCAGGGGAAGGGGCTCACTGCTCCAGCCCAGTGCCACAAAAAATGGTACACTGATGGCTGGTGAGGACTCGGCAGGTGAAGGTGCTCACTGCTAAACATATTTGAACCCTGAAATCACATGGAAAAGGGAATTTACTCTGGAGTTCTGACTATATGGGTCTGTGCACATACCCATGCAAACAATTTAAAAAGTACTGTATTTACACATATGGGTATCACTGCATCTGTGTCTTTGTACTGCATGCAGTTTCAGTGGAAGCCAGAAGAGGGCAGCTTTGTGGGTCCCTGTGGAAGAGCAACCATGTGTTCTTAAACTGCTGACCCATCTCTCCAGTCCCTGCAAATGTTCTTTACTGTCTAACCACTCAGAAGCACTTTGGGGGAGGGGTTAAAAGTGCTCTCAGCTATGTGGTGGAGCACACCACACCTTTAATCCCAATATCGAGGTAGGTGAATTGAAGGCAAGCCTAGTCTACAGAGTAAGTTCAGGGCTACACAGGAATCCTGTGTCAAAAAACAAAGTGCTCTATTCTAGTAATGAGTGTAAATCATACCAGATATGTATTTAAGAAGCTTGTGATTAAATTACTGTGTAACCAGAGTGGACTCTTTGGAATCTGTGGTATTAGGGCTCTTGTGCTTTCCCTGGGGAGTGGGGATGCAAGGACTTGACTTTGTTAACAGAAAACTAAATACTTACTGTAAGAATGCTGAAGCTTCCCAAACACCCTAGAAATACCTTAGAGCTAATGTAGTTGTGTCCTATTATAGTGATAGTTCTCTTGCTTAGACAAGTAGTCCACTCTTCAGTCCCCTGAGAGAAACTCCACAACTTGATTTTCTCAACTTATGACAGTGCTATTGATATATTTTTAGTGCTACCCTGGGTCAGGTCCCTTTTGGGAACCTTTTGTTGGGAGCTCAGGTCCAGTGTGGCAGTATTCAAAGGGGAGATGATTCAGTACTCACCCTTGGGAGGCTTGATTTTCTCATAGCACCGGAAGATAATAATGAAGAGAATTGCTTCCCCAAGTTGGAAAACCATATAGAGAAGAGGAAAGAAGAACAGTGGTCCAATGACTTGAGGGGGGAAGGTCACGTTGAGGATGGTAGAACAGAGTTGGACATTTTGGAATCCTGTTTCCATGCTGATGGTGCGTCTGCACCTGTGTGAGTGGGGAAAAGTGCTTAACGGAGAAGATGGTTGGCAGCTGCTATGCCTACCCTTTCTTTCCCCTTCTAACTTGTAGTCCTATAGCGTTCAGTGTGGGAAGGTGGGGAGAAATTGAGTTGAAGTACACAATGGGTTTGGAAAAAGTTAACCTGATTCCTACTGCCAGTCTTAACTCTGAGAAGGATGGGGATGAAATGGTACAGAGTTTATAAAAGCTGTGTTGTGTGTGCATACATGCATGTGCCGGGGACCTTGTATGTACTAGGGATGTACTCTACCACTGAGCTAATTCTATCTGGCCCCAAGGAAGGCCTTTTTGAATTGCTTAGAAATCTGGATTGGTCCTCTTTTATAGAACTGCTAAGTTAAAACTTGAAAGTAAATGGCAGATAAGTGAAACTAGGAGCCAATATCATGCATTAGCTTGTTATGATAGTCTTATATGACAGTTGCACTTTTGACTAGATAGCAGATTGAAATGTCAACTTATCTTGTGCCTGTTTGTTGCTAATGTATCTTTAATTCTAGAACTTGTCATTAAAAGCAAGCGTCAGCCTCACTATGTATCTTTGAAAGCTTTATTCCCTAATTTTGCTTTCCATTTTGTGGATTGGTGTTTATATTTGGTGAATACATATTCCAAGTGTGTTAAAGCTTTAGTGCAATATGAGAATGCTGGGATTACCCTTCGTGCTGTGGCCATTGTGATATGTAGCACTGTGGTCATGGGCAGCCTTTTCCCTTGAGTGATAGGTGCACAGTAATTTTATCTTTAGCAACATGGCTATAATAGTGGATTTTGAAAACGAGCATCTCTTAGGGTGTAGGGTAAGATTCTATTAATGCAGTGGTTCTCATCTTGGGGGTTGAATGAGTCTTCCACAGGGGTTGCCTAAGACCATTGGAAAACACATTTCCATTATGATTCATAACAATAGTAAAATTACAGTTATGAAGTAGTAATGAAATAATTTTATAGTTGGTGGTCACCACCACAAGAGGAATTGTGTTACAAGTAGCTTCAGCATTAGGAAGGTTAACTACTGTACTATAGACTCCCACGTTAAGTATTTAGGCTAACAGGCCTCTGATGTTGCCACTGACCCTCAAGTTGATCTTTTACAGTGGCTGTATATGTGAGTTGGGTTCCACTATAGCTAAAGATCAGAGCTAGGAGTACAACTTAATGTAACTTCTGTCCTACATTGTTCTTGTCAGAAGAGCAAGAAGAGTGGACAAGGAGGAGAATAAGCACTGGCATTAAAAGCTGCCCCAGCACCACAAATTGTCAGGCAGCTCCAGGAGGTGGGCTCTAAGCTGGGAGATGGTAGACCCCACTATTAGTGCAACACCTCCACCCCTACCCCCAACCTCAGTATTTCTCATTGTCCACAAAGTCCTTGTTCAGTTGGTGCCCCACTATATGCCAGGAAATGCTCTGCCCTTACAGAAAGGCCCCGAGGGAAATGGAACCTAAGAGACCTACCTTGGACTGAGCTGGAAGAGAGCAGAGAGAACATAGCCCAACAGGAAGCCAGAGAAAGGCATCAGGCAGGAGGTGGCCAGTAATGGCGGGGTCATGGCAAACTTGATGACCTACCTTGGACTGAGCTGGAAGAGAGCAGAGAGAACATAGCCCAGCAGGAAGCCAGAGAAAGGCATCAGGCAGGAGGTGGCCAGTAATGGCGGGGTCATGGCAAACTTGATACTGTCGCCCACATTGATGACAGACAGGACTGTGACAGCCACACTGAGTAAGAAAGTGATGGTCATTCCTCCCTGGACGTGGGGACAAGAAGAGGCCATTAGAAGGGTGGGAGTGGACAACAGGAGTGGTAAGACACACAGGAATTGGGAGCAGAGGTCATTCTTATTAGAACAGGAAGGAGATACGAAAAACCTTTATCTTCCTTTTTTTTTGGATTTCTTATAAGTAGCTAGAAAACTTAAATATTTGCGAATATTTTAATAACTAAAACATAGCCAAGCACAGTCAGCTGCTTTTGACATAGCTCAGACTGCTGTGAAATTTTCAATGACTTTCTTTTGTGCTATAGCTGTGAGGAGATGAGATTCCCTGGTCCTATGAAACTGATACTTATAAGTGACATTTTCAGTCCATAAACATTTGCACAAGACTGTACCCAAATGTATTTTGGAGCTTTTCTCAACCTACATTACAGAGAGGAACCTCACTGTTTTAGGGCAGCACTTCTCAACTTATGGGTTGCACCCCTTTTGGGGGTCAAATGACCCTTTCACAGAGGTTGCCTAAGACCATCAGAAAACAAAGATTCACACAATAGTAGCAAAATTAGTTATAAACTAGCAAACAAAAATTTTATGGTTGGAGGTCACCACAACATGAGGTATTAAAAGGTTGCAGTGTTAGGAAAATTGAGAGGCACTGAACTGGACTTACGGAAATTGCCAAGAAGCACAGATGGTTGAACCAGGTAGCCTAATGATGTGTAACCCTAAAGAGAAACCAGCGCAGTTGTGTGATCTGGAAACAAGGTGGGAAAGTCCCAGGAACGTGTAATAGCATGATTATGAACTCTGTAAATCCATCTTTCCCACTCCAAGAAAGTGAGGTAGAAACATGTATTGGGGGCAATAGCATGTTTTTATCCTAAAGTTAACTTTGTAGTTGCATCTTCTATACACTACTGTGAACCTTTAATAGGTAGGTTCTAGTGAAATGACTGCTCAGGGTTTTCATTATGAAATAAAAGGATGTAAATTTTCTTCCATGCTCTTTGCGGTATGTTTCAAAATGGCAAAAATGTGTAAATTTGTCTTGGTTTTTCATCTTTTAAATAAAGAAATACATAACAAGGGGCTGGAGAGATGGCTCAGAGGTTAAGAGCACTGACTGCTCTTCCAGAGGTCCTGAGTTCAATTCCTAGCAACCACATGGTGGCTCACAACCATCCGTTATGAGATCTGGTGCCCTCTTCTGGTGTGCAGATACACATGGAAGCAGAATGTTGTATATGTAATAAATAAATAAAATGAAATCTTTAAAAAATATATAGCAAAATATTTTTCATTATCAAGTTATTTTGTAATGATTATGCTGTGACTTGGCTCTAGTTTCCATTTTATTCCTGTGTGTGATGTTTACTTGATTTTTTTTGTTGTTGTTTTTAATGGGGAGGTGGTTTCCAGACAGGGTTTCTCTTTGGCTTTGGAGGCTGTCCTGGGACTCCCATTATAGACCAGTCTGGTCTTGAACTCACAGAGATCCACCTGCTTCTGCCTCCTGAGTGCTGGGATTAAAGATATGCGCCACCAATGCCTGGCGTTTACTTGATTTTTGTGATGTGTTCTCGCAGTGTGGTCCTGGCTGGCCACCTAGAACTTTCTGTGTACAGGAGACTGACAAGGGTTGAACTACAGGATGAAATTGACCAGTTTCATGTTCTTCTAAGGGCAAGCAAGCAATGATAGGGTACCCTCTCTGTGACTGCAGTGTTTTTTCAAACTTCTGTGAACTTACATCTTTCTGTGAAATTCTGGAAGTCTTTATGCTTCCCCTTAGTCTCTACTAGCTAGTTAGCCAAGGTTGCCCTGTTACCTCCTGTTTTCTATTTGGCCTCTCTCCATGCTTATGTAAATCCCAGCCTATGTATCTGGCTCAAGCCCCTCCAAGAAGCCTAACCACTCTGGCCTTCAGTAATCTCTTTTTTTTTCCCCCCAAGACAAGGTTTCTCTGTGTAGCTTTGGAGCCTATCCTGGCACTCGCTCTGGAGACCAGGCTGGCCTCGAACTCACAGAGATCTGCCTGCCTCTGCCTCCCGAATGCTGGAATTAAAGGTGTGCACCACCAATGCCTGGCGGCCTTCAGTAATCTTAAAGACCACCAGACTTGTTTGCCTGCTATTGTTGGATTTTATCCCTTTTTTGAATTACCTTTTTCAAATGACAAACTCTGGAGACAGTAAGCCTTCAAGGTGTATGGCAGAAACTTAAGCAGCAAAGAGGAATTATAGGTTTTTATTTTATTTATACTAGAAGGTGTGTGTGTTCATTTTTTCTCCCGATTCTTCAAAAGCATTTGTTCATATTACAATTTCATGAAGTAGTAGATATACCAAGAGTAAGGGTTTGGATGAGTGCAATCTCTACCCACCTCTCCACATGTCCATAGATACTGCCATAAAGTACTGTGGGCCTCAGGGTGGGAGCCTAACAAAAGGTTAGGTCATATCGGGCATGGTAATGAAAAGGGTTAGGGGTTTGATGCTGTCCTCTCTACTGGAATGTGAACTTCCCTTTGCCAAGTGACCCAGCATCCAACTAGAATCTCTAGGACAGTGAGTCAAAAACAAAACAAAATAAACAAAAAACCAAAACTCTAAGTAGCCTATGGTGGCAATTGCTGTTATGCTTTATTTAAACAGGACCTTCAGTTCTTACCTTGATGATGTAAGGAACATACTGTGGCTTTTTGGTCTTGAGGAAGATCCCTATGCTACAAGGAATGAGAACCATGACCAGTGATATCATAATGCCTCCATAGGGCACCTTGTCCTTAAGATCTCCATCATAGATCCCTTTTGTGTAGATGTACAAGAGGAGAGGCATCATACCCAAGGCAGCAAAGGTAGAGCAGGTAGTCATCACAATACTGAGTGGGAGAGAAGAACAAAGAAAAAGCCATTTAGATGTTTGAGTACCTTCTGTGTGCTAGACACTGTGTTGCATGTCTTATACCACTTTGTTGAGCAGTAAACGTGGTGATACCTTGCTTGTACAAATAAAGCCTGTCTGAAGATCAGAGAGGAGCAAGCCACAGCCACACCTTACCTCTTTAGCGTCTCAGCAGACAAGAAAGTGAGTTCCTGTTTCTGTTTATACCCTCTCTCCACCCAGCCATATCACTTCCTATTTTTGCCCAGCCATCTCAAAAGAAGCTGAATAAAAGTTGGAAGGGTTTTTGACTTATTCCAAGTAGCGCATACTAAGTGGCTAATAGAAGATACAAACACAGGCCTGTCCAGCTTCTTCTAAACCCATATGCTTTATCCAAGAAGATGCCATTCCAATTTAAATAAAATCACTTTTTCTTGACTGATGATTGAGTTGGAGGGCCCATTTCACTATGCATGCAGCCCCTGGGCAGGTGGTCCTGGATGCTTAAGAAAGACTGAGAAAGCCATAAGCAGCATCCTTCCATGGCCTCTGCTTCAGTTCCTTGCTGCAGGTTCTTGCCCTGACTTCCTTCAATGATGGCTGTGATTTGGAAGTATAAGTAAAAGAAACCCCTTACTCCTCAAGTTGCTTTTGGACATATTACAATATTAGAAACCATAATAGGATAGACACAGAAAATTAAAGATTCAATGTTAAAAAGTTTAGTACATCAACAATGGTAAATTCTAATTTTGAAAGTGATAGCTACTAAAAGTTTATCACTAAACAAGTTTAGTGGTAAACAAAAAGATTTCTTACAATAAATGGAATAAGACATTGTGTTATCACCTCTTTTATATATTACAGTAGACAGCAAGAGAAATAGTGGATAGGAAGAGAATTTTTTTTTTGTTAAGGATTGATTGATCATAGAGGAAAATTTCCATTATAACTAAAAAATTAAAAGGGTTATAAACATATGAGCAATATAAGATAATAAATTGGGATCAGATATGCTACTAATAGAAAAATGGTGATTTATTTTTATTTTATTTGCATTGGTGTTTTGTCTGCATATATGTTTGTACGAGGGTGTTGGATCCCCTGGAACTAGAACTATAGACAGTTGTGAGCTACCCTGTGGGTGCTGGGAATTAAAAACCCAGGTCCTCTTGAAGAGCAACCAGTGCTCTTGGCTGCTGAGCCATCTCTCCAGTTCCTCAAAAAGTTTTTTTTAAGATGGCATTTGTAATCAAAATTATAAAATATTTGAAATAAATTTCAAGGAGGTGACAAGATTTTTTATTGAAGAAATTATCAAACATAATGCTGTTTAATAATTCTCTTGTAGGGCTGGAGAGATGGCTCAGAGGTTAAGAGCACTGGCTGCTCTTCCAGAAGTCCTGAGTTCAATTCCCAGCAATCACATGGTGGCTCACAACCATCCATTTTGAGATCTGGGTGCCCTCTTCTGGCTTGCAGGGACACCTGCAGACAGAACACTGTATACATAATAAGTAAATCTTAAAAAAAATAATCCTCCTGTAGAGTGTACAGATTTGCCACTCAAAGCCAGGCTTTGGTGGCGCACGCCTTTAATCCCAGCACTTGGGAGGCAGAGGCAGGTGGATCTCTGTGAGTTCAAGGCCAGCCTGGTCTACAGAGCGAGTGCCAGGATAGGCTCCAAAGCTACACAGAGAAACCCTGTCTCGAAAAACAAAAAAAAAAATACAAAAAAAAAAGTTTTGCCATTCAAATTGGTTTAATAAAAATGGCCCATAGCCAGGCAGGAAGTGTAGGCGAGACAACCAAACCAAGAATGATGGGAAGGAGAAGGGCAGAATCAGAAGACGACAGTCAGTCACTGAGGAAGCGGGACATGTAGAAAAAATGAGGTAACAAGCCCTGAACCAACCACATGGCAAAGCCTAGATAAGAAATAGGGGTTAATTAAAATGCATGAGCTAGTTAGTAACAAGCCTGAGCTATTGGCCGAGCATTTATAACATATATATTAGGGAAGCAGCTGCTGGTTATTTGGGAACAGGTGGGGAGGAACAAATTTCCAACTACAACACCATAGAAAAGTATGGAAGAAGGCTGAGGGCGATTCTATATTCATGGCAGAATGGGATGGCAAGATTATAAAGGTGGTGAGGTGGTTTGGGTGAGAGATGTCCCCTATGTGCTCATGTAGTTGAAAACTTGGTCCTCAGTTGGTGGTGCTATTGGGGAAGGTTATAGATCCTTAAGAGGGAGAGATTTGATGGAAGAAGTATGTCACTGGGGCTGGGCTTTGAGGTTTTGGAGCCCCGCCTACCTCCTGTTTGCATTTACTACTTCCTGTATATGGATGATGTGATCATCCAACTTCCTGCTCCTATCATGCCTCCATTATGATGGACTATCTCTTTGGAACTATAAGTGAAAATAGTCTCAAAACTTGTGTGTAAATGCTGGGGTAGATGAGATGGCTCAGGGATTAAGAGCACTCGCAGCTTCTGGAGGACCTGGGTTCAATCCCCAGCACCCACATGGCAGCTCACAACCATTTGTAACTCCAGTTCCAGGGGATCTCGTCCTGTAAAGAGGACATCAGGCAGGCATGTGGTTCACAGAGATGCAGGTAAAACACACTCACACATACACAAACCACCCCCCCCACACACATTCAATGGAAAGCTCATCAGAATTCTAGAAATTTTGTAGATTTGAAAGCTGATCCTAAAATTCAAGTGCAAAAGTAGAAAGGTGAAAAACTGTAAACATTTTCATGAAGTGACCTGTAAAGTCACTGTAATTAAGAAAATGCACTGACAGACAGCCACATTGACCAATAAGAGTCCAGATGAAAGCTCAATCTTATTTGACTAATAAGAGAGGTGATACTAAGTAGTATTGGAGGAAAAAAACATGAATGGTGCTTAATATTTATTCAGATGGAAAATAAAGATTGGGTCACTTGTAAAAATAAGTTCTAAGTTGATTTAAGATTTCCTTGAGGGCCAGGCGTTGGTGGCGCATGCCTTTGATCCCAGCACTCGGGAGGCAGAGGCAGGCGTATCTCTGTGAGTTTGAGACCAGCCTGGTCTACAGAGTGAGTTCCAGGACAGCTCCAAAACAATACAGAGAAAGCCTGTCTCAAAACAAAAACAACAACAACAACAAAAAAGATTAATATGAAGCCGGTTGGTGGTGGTGGTGCACGCCTTTACTCCCAGAGGCAGAGTCAGGGAGATCTCTGAGTTTGAGGCCAGCCTGGTCTACAAAGCAAGTTTCAGGACAGCCAGAGCTGTTACATAAAGCAACCCTGTCTTGAAAAACAAAACAAAACAAAAAAACAAATTTCCATGTGAAAGGCAAGTATTTTTCAAAGAAAATATAGGAAATATCTTTATAGACAGTAAAGGATTTATTAAAGCTCTGACTAGTCAAGACAAAACAATATAGAATTGACTAAGTTAGAAGCACTTACTAAGTGTATGATGATGACATTTTCAATATATATATTGAAGTGATACATTCAAATCACTTTGGAAATCAAAAAAGTTCTTTCAGAACAACCCCATAGAAACACAGTCCATCCCATTTCCAGATGAAAAAACCCAGTGATTCCAAATAGAATGATGCTGAAAAGTGGGGCGGTGGTGGTACACGTCCAATCCTAGATTTAAGTTCTAATCCTAGAATTTTGGAGTCAGAGGCAGGCAGATGTATGTGAGTTCAAGGCCAGTCTGTTCTACAAAGTGAGTGCCAGGACAGTCAGAGCTGTTATACAGAGAAATCCTGTACACACACACACACACACACACACACACACACACACACACACACACACACACACCACACACAAAACCAAAAAACAAAAAACAAAACCCCCAAAACAAAACCAACCAACCAACCAACCAAACAAACAAACAAAAAACAGATTTCCAGGTAAGGAAGTGTGAAGTGGAACAACTCTGGAAGCTTCCTTGCAGGTGATGTGTGATTACCATAATCTCCCATTCCTGCTTTTATTTCTCGTGATCACACCTGGGAACAAGAAAGCCATGCACACGGGGCTGTCTATAGAAGCAGGCTATGGAATCAGGAATGTCTTCCAAGAGATAAGTGCAGCAAACCACACAGCAGTTTAAATACACTCGGTAGGTGTTTTACTGATATGCCTAAGTTAGTTTTGGTGTCAACTTGACACAAACTAGGGTCATTTGGGAAGAAGGAATCTTCATTGAGAAAATGCCTCCATATAATCGGCTTGTAGACAAGTCTGCAGGACATTTTCTTGATTGAGGATTGACATGGAAGGACCCAGCTCACTGTGTGTGGTGCCATCTGTAGGCTGGTGGCGCTGGCTGTCGTGAGAAAGCAGGCTGAGCAAACCATGAGGAACAAGCCAGTGAGCAGCACTGCTCCATGGCCTCTGCGTCAGCTCTGGTCTTGAGTTCCTGCACCAACTTCCCTAGACAATGAACTATAAGCTGTAAGGTAAAATAAACTCCTTTCTCCCCAAGCTGCTTTTGGTCAGGAAGCTAAGACACCAGCTCTCAGAGCAAATTTGCCAAATGTATGATCTGTTGATATCAAATTTAAAACTTGCAAATACAGTAGATTATCTGTTGGTGCATGTAGTACACGTGGTTTGAAAATATCTTGTGCAGGGTGGTGATGGCGCACACCTTTAGTCCCAGCACTTGGGAGGCAGAGGCAGGAGGATCACTGTGAGTTCGAGGACAGCCTGGTCTACAGAACTAGTTCCAGGATAGGCTCCAAAACAATACAGAGAAACCCTGTCTCGAAAAACCAAAAAAAAGAAAAAAGAAAAAAGAAAAACAAAAACAAACGAACAAACAAAAAAAAAAAAAGAAAGAAAAGAAAAGAAAGCAGGGCAGGGGACATGATGAGAGACGGTCAGTGGTTAAGAACACTGGCTGTTCTTCCAGTGGTCCTGAGTAACTACATGGTGGCTCGCAATGGTGTAATGGGATCTTGTGT